CTAATGAGATGACAGAAGCTAGCTAATACATTTAAAGATGTCAAACAATATGTGTGGTATGAGCTCTTAAGTGTTTAAAATACATTAATTAAATGTACTGTCCAATAAATTTTACAGAAAGATTTGTTTTCCTTTCCTTGGAAGGACTCCTAATAGTGTTTTGTTTATAGGGGTGCTGTCTACTGATTTAAGCCCAAGGCATCAAACCATTTGTGAGCAGGACTAATAGCACATCATGTTTATGCATACTGCTTAATGTTATGTGCACAAGTATTCATGTGGGGTTCTTTTCCTCTGGTTAGAGACATTTCATTTGTAGAGAGACATATATCCCAAAATTGCAATAATATGGAGGGTCATCTTTACGTTATAAAACCAGAAAACTCAGAAACAAGGACAGAAATGGTCTATATTAGGCCAACTTGTAATGCAGTTTTTAGAAACTCCTGCTGTGGAAAAGAGAATATTTATTTTTAACACTGAACGTACAGCATTTTAACTTCTTTTCCTCTATGCCTACAGCTAACCATGAAAGAAGTAAGTTTTATAAGTGTCTTTTAAATGGTTTGCATAACTGAAGGTGGTCAGTTGGGACTGAAAGAGAATTGCTTTGCAGCAAGGTGACTTTACTGAAGCATTCATGGTTTTGTATTTGCTTACACAATATTGGTAACCTTAAATTATTTATTTTAAAAAGGAACAAACTGAATCTGATGTTTGTCGATAAAAGATGGTTGTGCTTCATCTAGAATTCCCTACTAATTTACAGAATTACTTTCTGGTTCTGGACACACTACATATTTATTTTGTTGTCGTTTTGGAAGGCATAAATCACTATTGAGTGACCACATAAGGCTCATAAATTCCAGAAACTTTGGTTTATATAAGTGTAACATGTAAAAAACATAAACAAGTTACGTGAATAAATGTACCAAAACTGTGTTTTCACTCCACGTTGAAACACAAACTGTCAACTCTAAGTGACTTTCCAAGGTGTTCTTCCCAAAGAGGCAAATTAAATGCTGCTCATTAAGTAGTTTCTGAAATGCAAAATGAAGTGGAGCTGCAGTGATTCAGCTGATAAGTCTTTTCCAAATGTGCAGAGCAAACACCAGCAGCACACCTTGCGTCAGTGTCTGCGTTTGCAGAGAAGGCATCCCTTAATTTGCAAAAATATGTCTTTTTGTCAGATTTGCATAATTAAGTATTACCATGTTTCACACTTCACTCAGTCTTGGGAAAACAGTTTTTAAATCCAAAATAAAGGTAATACTTGGCAAGGAATGGAAGGAATTGATGGGTGTTTTTCCCACAAAATCTTTCATTACCTGGGAGCTGTACCCATGTGCTTGGCTCAAGGGACGCTCCAGTAGTAGATCAGGTTTGAGGCAGAATATGTGAAGTTTGTGATATAATTTAGGGTGCTTTGCTTGCTTGCAGCCAGCCCATACCACAAGTCTGGGGAGCTGTCTGCATATGGCATGCAACTTGGTTTCCTACAGCACATGGATCTGGGGGAGGTCCATTGCTGTTACTGATTGGTGCTGTTTGGTGGGCTTGGATACTGAGTTGGAAAGGACAAACCAAGCTTCATATTTTGAAATGCAGTTACATTAGGTTTTTTTCACCTGTTGTTGACGTCTGGTATTATGATAGTCTGCCTGAATGCCTGTAAAAAGTTCTATTGCACTAAGACTGGACTGGCGGCTTTTCACTGAACTTACACAGCCATGCTTGTGCCGAAAGCAATGGTATATTTGGATTTTGTTTTCTTTTTACATGTTAATTTCAATGTTTGCTTGTTTGTGTGCTTGTTTAATATGAATCTACTGCTTGATTGAAAAATACATCACAATTGTAAACTGTTCCCTGTGGCTTGCTCACTTGTGAATGCTCAGTTTTGAATGCCTTTTTGGGCGTGCCGAATCATTTTAACCAATTACTCTGGTTTTGGGAATGGATTTAACATAGAGGAAAAAAAACTTAAGTGGAAGATATTTCACTGTTTTAACTGAACGCTTTAAGAATTAGCATGTCTTCAGGTACAAAAGGGTGTGAAATGTGAATGTTGCCCTAAAATTCTGTGGATAACTAATTTGTGAAGATGCCGTCTCTGAATGAGGATGGAAGCTTGGAAGGGGATTTTTCCCTGTGTTTTCTGATCCCATGCATTACCTTTCTCGCTAGAAGGGATAATAGAGTATGATGGAAGGAAACTAGACTGTGAAAAAGAAACTTGAGGTCTATAGACAGTGGTTTTAGATGTTAGTGAGAACTTTGGTTTTTTCCACCTTGAACTTTGAGGGATCACAACACTCCACATTGTGCTTTATGAAGTAGGTAGATTGATGTGGTGGGGTTTTTTTTTTGTTCGGGGTTTGGTTTTTGTTTGTTTGTTTGTTTTCTTTTGTGTTTTGTTTCCTTTTTGTTTGGTTGGTTTTGGGTTTTGTTGGTTGTTTTTTTGGTTGTTTGTGGGGTTTTTTGGTGGCTGTTTGGGGGGGGCGTTTTGTTGTTGTTTGTTTGTTTTTTGTTTTTTCCCTAGGGTTATAATGTAATTCTGTAGAATATAATGTTTAATGGTGGGGTTCGACCCCTGAGGAGGATGCTTTCAGCCTTTTCTCATAGTGGAGCAAGCTTCCCATGCACTTTGTGGAAAGCAGTCAAACACAGAGCTTCTTGGTGTGCCAGAAGAAAATAAATGGGAGAGTTCTGATTTTTTTAATTTTATTTTATTTTTTTTTTTTTTTACTTTTTTTTTAACTTCTGTCTTCCTACTGCTGGAAGCCTGAAAATGTTATTGATCAGGTCAGTTGTTATTTTTTCCCTATTAAGATCAGTTGAAGAAATTCCCTTTCCCATTAGCTGCAGGCAGGCTGAGCACCATAGTCACAGCGTATGTTCCCCTTCCCCAGATTTCTGACAAGTAGGTGCTTGTTTAAAATAAAAAATTTTACCTTGTTTGCTCAAAGTAAGATGCAAATAAGTAAATGCTTCTTTCTCCCAACTGTCTACGCTTTCGTATTTTAGAGAGCAACTAACTTAATATCTTTTTTTTTTTTTTATTGTTAGTCTATGGATGTGATTTTCAGCTTATGAGGAATATTTTGAGCTGTTTGATGCCAACTATGAATTTTAAGTGCAGAAAAGAAACCCATAAAAATTAATAAGCCAACCTCTGGAATTTTTTCATGGGTGGAGTAGGATGTTAATAGCTAGTTCATGATAAATGCTGCCAACAACAGGCAATAGGAGGAAGAGGCAATAAATCACATGAGCAGGTGAGATGCTGGTGGCAGTGCCACCTGCAGCAGAAAACTGCTTTCTCCACAAATCTTTCCTTCAGTTTGAAGGAAAACCAGACATTGTTTATTTGTCATGAACATAAGCATCAGTGTAATTTTGCTTCGGATCCATCTTGATGGGAAAGGAAGCAAAACCTTTTTTTTTTTTTTTTTTTTTTTCTTTCAGGGAACGATGCTTTGATCTTGTATCCTGTAAGCATAAAGAGCAGTTATTTTGCATGAAATTAATGCCATTAGTGTGTTGTCTGCTGTTAGTGGTTTGCCTCTTATTAAAATCCTGACACTCTGCAGATGGTAAAGGCAGAGCTATTGGAAGAGTTATATTTGATCAATAGAGCTGAACTTTCTTCCCTGGAATCTGTATTTTTTTTGTGATCTATATGATTATTTTTGTCTCTTTTCTTGTGGTTTCCGAGCCAGATACGGGTTAAATTTTCATCTAAATTATTAGCTGAGCTCATCCCCACTCTGCAGTCACATACAATGGTGAGTTCTCTCAAAAGAAAATAAAACCAAACCCAACAAAACCTTAGGTGGATGAGAGACTTCAGCTGCAGACAGTGGGTCTGACCCGGAAAGGCTATGTGCTAACTCTTGCTGGGATGTCTACTTGGGCTTCTTAGCTGCACCCAGTCAAAGCAACAATGTGGTTGCTTCAGAACTTTCTTGCTCTTTGCAAGTCTAACCATTTGACTTGATATTATGTTTGCCTGCTTATTTTATTGTTGGTTAACCAGTTTTCTTTCCTTTATCTTGTATATGATGGGATCTCCGCTAGACAGAGGTAACGGTGGGGGACAGTTGTGTAGCTGGACCCTCGTGTGGTGGTGTTTGTTGGTGGTTTTTCCTAAAACCATTCCTAAATTCAGCCTTGCTTTCACCATGCTTGTGTGCTTGCATGACTTGGTTTCTGTGGAATAACCTCATCCACGCCTACTCTCCTTTATATTAATTTCATTTTCCTTTGTGTGTGTGTGCCTTCTCTTGCTATGTTCTTAAAATGGGTCACCAGTGTGGATTTTCTAACAGTGTTATGGATCCTTTTCAGTCTTTGAAGGCTCTGCAGATCAAAGAGACTTGGATTTTTGGCTTAGTAAGGGATATGAGCTGATAAAACATATGTGGAATATTCTATTAAAGCAACATGTTGAAAAATAGCTGGAGCAAGAGAGAGATAGAGATTGAGATTGGAATCACTCCCGGTCCTCCTAGTGATCCTGCTAAACACACTCCTGAATCATGTGTTTGTGATAAGTTTGATCATACTTTATAGTAATGTGAAATAGTTCTTTCTTGGCTACTGCAACAACAGAATATAACTGCAATGCTATCAGTGAAATACAATAATGTCCTTTTTGAATCCTATATTAAAAATCTGATTTTTGTAACAATCTCAAAAGATTCAGACAATGTTAAGCAAAATAGACATAGTTTTATTTATCTGTATTTCAGCTAGGCTAAACCAACTCATTGTGCAATTCCTTATCCCTTGTTGAGATGGGGAAGCACTGATCTTTGCAGAGCATTTCTGACATTTGAAGGCTGGAAAAGGTCCACTGAATATGAATGGAGATAGTAGGGTTGTGTGTATGTAGAATGGCTTGTTGGTGGTAAGGATACAAATAAAGCCTTCCATTTCTCTGTTTAATTGATTGCTTTATTTTGTCTTTCTGGGCTGTGGATCGGATGAATAAATAGAAATTATCCCAGGAGCGAGAGAAGTTTGCTGATGAGGACAGCATATTTTATGCACTTGGAGAATGTGGACTCATTTCTTTTTCTGACTACATCTTCCTCACAACGGTCCTCTCCAGTAAGTACAGTGGGTTTTATTCCTCTGCAGTTACTGCTTTTTTAAGTTTTGAAGGTTTACAAGCAGTAAGTTTGCTGTTGTTGTCTACATACATTTCCTTAAAAGGAATTCCTGATTGCTTGAAATGCAGGCTGAATGAATAATTTCTGTTGCTTCATCTGGTTTAGACTTAGCTTCAAGTGGTTCAGAAATAAAAGCAGATCGATGACTTCTGAAGATTTCTCATTTTCGAATGTGGCAATTTTTTTTAATGAGTCATTTGACCTGCTGTTTAAAACCATAAATGGAGATGTGTTCTTGAGTTGTGTTTGTATGATATTCTTGTATTTGGATGAATACTGCTTTCCAGCTCTTCACTAGTTAGCAATCTGTTCAAACTCTCTTCTCTAGTTGCATTTTCACTTGGGTAAGCTCAGACTTGTGCATGATGTAATCTGATGTGGAGACAAATTAAGCTGTTTACATTTCAACAAGTATCATTAGATACCTTCTGTCTTTTCACCCTGCTGCACTTGACTTGCATTTGTGATATTTCTGTGATCTGCTAATCTGTTCCAGCAGTCTTCTGCACTTAAAGTGCTGACACTTAAAAGTTTGCTTTGTTGGCAAGAAACAGTGAAACTGAAGCCTTTGGTAATGTTAAACGGCATTTCTAGACTTTCTTCATGGGCAAAAGCAAGCTCAAAACCCTGCAGGGCTTCTGTAGCTGCTTGGAAGGTGCTGCATCACAAAGCCCACAAAAACTCCAGCCCTGTTAGAAAATGTTGGGTAATGGTTTATATGCCACTGTCCAAATAAGCTTGAGACATTTTATTTTCAGACTTTCAAAAAAAGAAAAAAAAAAATAGAGTAAACTTGGCCATCTAATCTTGTGAGTATCATTTCATGGTGACCTTATTATAGGACTTAACATGTGGAACACTTCCTGGTTTACTATAGACCCTCATTGCTCTGTGCTGTTCAAGGGAGTCAGCTGGGTAATTCACTTACGTTTTATAAAAGCAACAGGTGCTTTATTTTTTTCCCTGTGCTCTTGCATACTGTAACATGGACAAATGAGAGGTAGCTCTTCATTTACTGAGGATCTGTTACCAGGGAGAAGCAATGTTCGAGGTCTTGTTTCTTGGCAAAGACATGGTGGGGAAAGACATGTATGTGAACTTCATGTTGTGAAAGCAGAGACAGAGAGATAAAGCTACTAGTTCAAGGCAGGGAATTTGTTTTAGGATTTTAATCTGCCCCTCTCTTTTCTCTCTCTTTTTTTTTTGACTGAGTTTCAGAACTGACTCTTCAGACTTTTGCCGTTCCTTTTTCTCTAGCCTATGCAGAAATTATCTAAGGTGTTTTCACTTTTGTAACGAGGGCTTCTCATCTGAGTCTCCATAAGTGACAGTGAACTCCCAAGCCTGTAGTATTGCCTTACTCAGTGTGGTTTAGAAAACGCTCATGCCCTTGGCTTTATGGCTTTGCTGGTAGTGAGTAGTGCCCTAATCAAGTATTCAGGGTGCAAAATTAATTTCAAGTGCTTCCACAGGCAGCAGTAAGAGAAATTGTTCTTGCTTTGGTTTAATTTCTTTGTTATGCGAATAAAAGAAAAGGGACCTCCTTGTGTTATAGTAGCAGCCAGCCTTGGTTTGGAGGGCTGCACAGGAGGGACAAGTTTTTCTCCTCTTGTTCTTAGGCTTTTAAACATATTCACAATCACTGGGGAATCAGACTAACAAGAGGAAAAGGAATTGAGTGGTGTGTATTTTAAGGAATGATGTGAAGTGTGGGCAAGGAAGGAGCTTTCAAAAAGGAAAAACAAAAAGAGAAGAAAAGTGTTCTGGGACTTTTAGGCTAACTTTTAGGTGTTTTGGAAGTTTACTGAATGGTTACTGAAGATGGAGGAATGTTTCTAGAGCCTGCTATCAAACAGTGATTCCCCAGAGGAGGAGTTTTGATTTCATTTTTAAAGTATTTGCTTTTATAAAAATAAAGCTCCCAAACAAACCTTGCCTTGTGGCTAGATAGAAAATACACTGTTATGCCACACTGGATTACTCTCCTACTAGTAAATATTACCTTCCAGGAATACTGTAGTTTATGATTTTATTTTTTTTTTCTCTGGGTGATAAACAAAAGGGAATGAGGAAAATACATCTTAAACCTGACAGTTGTTTTTCTCACTTTGTTGTTTAAATAACTGGAACACGAAGAAGCTATGCAGACAAGAATGAGCTGTAGATTATATCAAATAGCTAAAAGCCACTAATTATTGAGAAAGGAAGGTGGTATATTGAGGACTAAAGCAGGATAATCCGAAGTGGGGAGTGTGAGATCAGGTCGTGGGGGGAGGCAGTAGGGAGAGGTGCTCCCCTGCTGTGCTCAGAAGTAATAGGTAGAAATCGGTTGTCTTCTGGTCTGGCTTATTGAACTCAAAACTAATCATAGAATCATAAATTGTTTGGGTTGGAAAGGACCTTAAGATCATCTAGTTCCAAACCCCCTGCCATGAGCAGGGACACCTCACACTAAACCATGTCGCCTAAGGCTCTGTCCAACCTGGCCTTGAACACCTCCAGGGTTGGAGCATTCACAACTTCCTTGGGCAACCTATTCCAGTGCCTCACCACCCTCACTGTATAACCTCTGAAAACAGGAAAACCAAAGGGCCCTGTGTTACTGTGCTCCTCGGGAGGGTTGTGCCCAGCAAGTCTGCTGAAATGGCTCCTGCCCGTCTCTCTGGCTCTACCAAAAGCACTGCTGGGCTTTGAGAGTTCTTCCCAAAGCTTTCCGCTTAATTTATTTTTGCAGCGTCAGCTGAAGCTCTCTTCAGTTGTATTCTCTGAAACGTGGACCATGTGGCAGCTGCCAGGGAGAGAGAGGAGGAGAAAGGGCTGGAGGCTTCATCTGTATGTTGCTGACAGAGAGCTGTCTGCATATTGCACAGAAAATGAAGTCTGTCACTGTATCTTATTTACAAGTGATTTTTCACTCTAGCACTGTCTGTTCTTGTCAGTTGCCATGTTTCTGTGAAAATGTATTTTTGAAACAACTAATGAAATAGCATTTAGCAGCTTCAAAAAGACAGCTTTCTGTTAAAGGCAATGAGAGCTGAGCGGCCTTAGGGATACCTCATGGTTTCTGTTGCTTCAGTTGCTCCTTGTTTCTTGGGGCAGAGATAGAAAGATGAGCAAAATATGGGATAAGCAAAACGTTGATAGGATTTCCTCTGCATCCTTCAAATGTCATAGGAAAGCAAAGACATCACTTCCCCAACTGAAGAAGTTTTTGCTTTTGAACTTGCAGAACCGGTGGGGGAAAGAGAGAAAGAGCTTTTCTATCATCAGTGACTGCAGTTTCAGAGCAAATGTGGTCCATTGTCCAGGCTTGCTAATGCCTACTTGATTAACAGGTACCGAAGGGAGCTGGGCATTAAAAGAATAAGTCAGCATTGTTTCCATAATTGGATTGTCGCTGGACTGTCCCAGCCATGGAAGGAGGGTTAAATAGCATTGGCTCAAGCCAAAGTAATTAGTCTCTTGCTAGGGCTTTCGGAGCAGACCTCCGGGTTCTTTTTTCTTCTCCTGTGGATTCTTTCTAGAGCATGGCATGCTGCCATCCCTTACAAGTACTAGCCTGCAAGAAGCTTCTTGCCTAGGATAGATTCACTCTTCTTGTTGTTGTTCTTTTCTTTCCCCTGTGTAGGAAATACATCCCAAGCCATCTAGCTCTGGGAATTATTTTCTGGTCAAATACTGAGCGCTGTACAGGTCCCTGCAATGCAGTTGGCACTGCATGTTCTCCCACACTGCTGCATGCAGGCGATGTGATCTCCAGGATCTGTTTGCACTGTGGCCATTTTGAATATGTATTGCTGGCTGACACAAATGTCTTCAGTCTCATTCCCTGCCACGGGTGAGATCTGTTATCTTGCAGACAGTGTTTTAATCCTGTGAAGCAGCACTAAATGCTGTAGGGCTCATTTCTTCAAGAAAAGGAGTTATAAGGTTGCATTAAGTTTATTGGATTTTTTTTTTTTTTGTGATGCTGTTCATGTTAGTTTTATCTTTAATCTTTCAAGACCCTCTGTTTACTTACATGCATATATGTGGGTCCATCTCATCTACACTGTATGGTGCAGAGATGTCTTCAATACCTTTCTGCTAGCCCCGTTACTGATGTGTGGGATTTCCAAGATGTATCTGAGCAGCACAGAGATCCTCTTCCAAGACATGTCCCAGCTTCCAAATATAAGCCTGGGTGCTTCATGTCAGACTGAGGTCTGTCTGGCTCAGCATCCCACTTCTGCCATGGGCTGGTAGCTGTGCTAAAGGACAGAAACTGGACAGATTGCTTCGAATTGGTAGTTTGGGATTTTCCCAAGCAGAGCTTTACCTCTTCAGTTTGAAACCCTAGGGAATAGGATACTCTACCACCCTCTCCGCATGCAGTCCTTCCCTGTTCATCTCTTCATCCCTTGCATTTGCATGGTGTGATGGGCCAGTGGATCTCCACCAACTTCCTGTGTCAGAGGACAGTAAATTTGCAGTGGGAAAGGGCTACTATGCACATATCACTTCTTAGCCCGATTGAAATGTTCCAGAATTATACTCATTATTATTTCTATAGGACTAGGAAATAGAGTAGCCATATCCCAGAACCTACAGATGTTTGGGGTGTTCTCTTTCTCCAGGGGTTCCCTGGAGGGTGCAGTTTCTAATGACCTTTGTCTGGAGCTGCCATTTCCACAGGGGTTTTTTTTGTAGGTCCTTATTTCAGGGATGCGTGTAAGAGGGAATCTTGATTTCCAGCAATGTTCTGAGAGTCATGTGGTAACTGCTGTGAAGCTGTTGAAAGGTAAGTCTTGTATGCCAGCTGAGGCACATTCTTGTATCTCTGAAACTGAGGCGTATGTTTGACACCGACGTTAAAACCAAAATACAAAATTTGGTGTCAAAATTACACAGTCTCTTTGGTTGATAAGCTAACAAGCAAAATAGAGTGAAACAGCAATA